ATGGTCGGCCATCCCCGGAAACGGCCGTTTCAGCTTCCACAGACGGGATGGCCAGCCGCCGCGGCTCCGGGAACAGTCCGTCATCAGTCGAGTCATGAGAGATCGATGACGCGCCCCGCCGGCTTCCGGACGCGTGCGCCCGTGGGCCGCCAGCGGATCTGCCGGGCCGCCATCGGGTCTGCTGGCCCACCGCCGGCGCCGTCTCGGTGGCTGCAGCTCGAGGCTCAGCCTACCGCCGGGATTAGTGAGTGGGTAACTGGGTTGTGGTGGTCGAAAACTGAGCGCAAGTTGGTGGGTGGGCAGCAGATTCGAGCGAACACATTCCCTTATGTATTTGTGGCGTTTTGTTGATGTATTTGTAAAATAACAGTGTTTAAAGGAAAGAGTCTCAGGAGTGGCAGCTTCTCTTCATTTCCTCCTACAAAGGATAAAAAACTATTCTGATGACTAGACCCTTACACTTCAACCCAGACTGCTTAGATGTTCGCGGATGTACTCATTTCTGGGGGGGGGGGGAGGGTGGAGGTGAGCTTAGAGTGGAGTGCACTTCTCTGTCAAATATACATAATTCAAAAGAAAACATTGTTGCCAACCGAAAGGTTGACAATCACCGTCAAGGGTCGAACGAAAACAAAGGACGATAAAACATTTCAACCGTAAACTTCTGAGCTTGTAGCGTCGTGTTGGTGGTCTACACGAAATTTTAGGAGAGTCCTCATTCTAATTTCTCATATTCATTTATCTTCTTCAGTTCACCTTCAGCGTATCCGCGAATGACAGCGATTGATTCACCGCTTCCATCGTTCAGAAAAAAAAACGAATGCAATTGAAACGCATCGAAAATCGATCGCAAGACTAGAAAGTAATCAACTGAACACGTATTTAAATCGAGTCCAGAATACGGCAGACAGAACAAAACAAATATATAAGTCGAGCAGATGAATGCATCTGCAGTTGGTATAATGGGATCAGTTCAGCTGTCTCGGACAAATCGTCACGATGGACCATCAAACCCCAAGCAGACGCTTGAATCAGACTAGCCCCAAGAAGACACCACCTCTCGCCCAAATTCCCGATGCGATAATTATAGTTCGGATGATGATTATCATTGTTTAAATATTAGTGTGCCCTCTGTAGAGTGTAGACTACAGAGGTTACTAACACCCAGATTTATCCATTTTCAAGACCGACCACCTGACGGTCAGTGGTCTCAGATCAGACATTGCACATCAGACGGGCCAACTGTCGTCTATCCCAGACTGTCCCAGGCGCGTTATTCGTCCGAAATTGATCCCAGAACTGCCCCATCAGACCATCAGACGGACAGCTGTATCCCAGACTGACCCCCGGACCAACTACCACCTACACCGCACCGTCAGCCAGCCCGGTGACGGCCGTTGGACCGAGAGACTCCCATCGGGGCCTTTCGGCCGATCCTCCCATCCACGGCGACCCCGGTTATCGGCCGTTCTCGGCTCGTCTTTTCAGTCGGCTCAGTTCGTTATGGAGGTTCACATGTGGTGCGGACGTGCGGCGCCGGCTATTGGTGCTTTGGTTGGCGGAATCGCCGTCTGAATGTGCTTCATTTGTCAGGGAGCAGACAAAATAATTGCAGCTTATTTACGGCAAATAAAGGTTTGCAGTTGACTGGTGCACGCCACTGTATTTCACTGGGCATAAATGCCGTAATAACAGCAATGGCCAATGGGAGCTACAGTAATTACACGTGGAAAGTGACTTTAATTTTCATCGCATTACCCATAACGTTTACATATGATTCATCACAGAGTATCTGTAAACTAGCTTAAAGGAAATTGGCGATTCTTCAATATCCATCCATTGTCATCCATCGCTCCTCTAGCATGTGATACCTACCTACCTTGCAGAATCGCCGTCACGAGTCTTTGACAATCATTGAACGAGTACGCCGCCTAAGACCGCATAAGTCAATATGGCATTGCCAATAATGAATAGGGCATTGCACGTACACCTATTCTCGGCTAAAACATAAAGATCGGCTAAAAGATCACTCTCTCGTTGATGCTACACAACCATTAAAATCGATCATTACAAGGTCCCTCTGACTAGAACGCGCTTTATCCAACACCTACAGCATGCTCCCATACCTGCAACCTTAGCCCTCGCCGGACCTATTGGTTTTCTACATAGGTACGCGCCGGCCGAGGGGGGGGGGGCGGGTACGACCCCCCCTCGCCGTTTCGCCCCTGGTGGAGCTAGCGCGTCGCGGAAAAAACGGGCGTGTGCGCCGTTACGAGACGCAGAGATTGGTACCCGATTTTAAGGTCCTAGGTCAACCGGTGACCTATGAGGTCAGTTCAAGTGCCCCAAAGTACGGTTCAGTTTTTGGTGAATAACTTCGCAAAAAACGGCCGCAGAGCGCCGATTTTGGCAGCATCGTGTTCGTCTCGCTCAGGCGCGTCGAATGATATACTTTTTGTCCGGGTCAGGTTAATTTGGGATGTTGACCTCAGGTCAAGGTCAGGTCACGAAGTTGGTCGAAAGGGGTCATGTCGCATATCATTCGATTCGGCAGGTCTTCCTGAGTCCATTAATGGTTTTCCCGACTCGCTAGCTCAATTTGATCAAGAGTTATTGACGAAAAACTAATATGACCTTGATGACGTCATAAATGACGTCACGCAAGGTCAACATTGCAAAAGTGACGCATCTAACCTTGAAAGGAGTGCATCAAATCACGATTCTGTGTGCTTGAGATAGTTGGAGATCGTTCCCGGCGCCAGAATAGCAGTTTGAATTTTTCCCCATTGACTTATAATGGTGAGGTCACGAAAATGACCTGACCTCATATGAGCTTTAGGAAAAATCCGAGATATACAAGTTGTGGGACTCATAATGGATACTAGATCCTGCAAGTTTCATTTCCCTGTGACATCTCCTCTGGCAGTGAGGGCGTTGCGAAGTTGCGACATCTGAAGACCGTGCAGAGGTTCACTTATGACGTCATAGGTCAGTGACCTGACCTGACCCAAAAATGCGGTTGGTGTCAAAAGATCCGGCTTGGATCGAAGGTCAGGTATGCCAAGTTTCAGCTTTCTATCGCCAGCGTGTTCGGAGCTATCGCGAAAAAACCCTATGGGGGGGGGGGCGGCACCCGCCCCCCCCCCTCGGCCGGCGAGGGTTAAATCTATCACACAGCATACAACCCGAGCGCCGGTTAATTGCCTGTCGACTGAGCCGTGACCCTTCCTGTTAATCATAACCAATTAACCACCAGCCTACCGGTGACACTATTCTGATCGCATTTTAAGCATGATTTGTGGACACATGGTTGTACGGCCCCTCCATCAGGCCCTAATGCGTGCAGCCGACAGCAATGGCCCAGTCCGGGGCCGATTACGCTCGGCGCAGCGTCACTAATTTATGGCGTCAGTGGTCCCGAGCCCGCCGGGGATCTAGCTGAGCGGCAGCGCCGGGGAGCGGCGACGAGAAACGGGCCATAATCCACAGCGCGGGGCGAGGAGCGGGCACACAACTGACATCATTAGGTGCGCGTATTTCGCTAACTGGGATGTCGGGCTGTTGCGTTCTGCGATATCAGGAGCCGATGTGCGGGCTGCAGCCACACTCACCGCATCTCGAACCGTAATCTGATCTGATAATGATAGATGCGATCGGCCTTAATTTGATCATGCGATGCTAGACGATATCGTATGACAGTCATTGGGAGCATGCCGAGCGCTGCCCGATCATGTCTAGACATTTCTAAGAGAGGAACAGCAGCCACACCTTGCAAATGTCAAATGGATGCATTAGCAGAAGGGAGGCACGCATGACAACCTGCCATCTTATGCAACGAGCATCGGAAATAACGTTAGATCGTAGACTAGACGGTAACGTTGCATTATTTTTTATCAGAAAGCCAATGACAAAAAATCCACACGCTGATGACAGCCTTTCGGTTTTAAAATGAATCGTCCAATACCGCCAACGATATCATCACCGAATCCATTCGAAATCATAACGAGGAATTTCAAACGGGACGGCTGAGCAATGCCGAAAGACGGCTGTTCCCTGGAAAGGTATGCAGCTACTGTCCAATAACGTGGAACCACTGTCGCGCCGCAGGGACATCATTCTCAACCGTCGGCCATTGGGCACGAGAGGCCAAAGCGCGGCCAAGCGGAGCAATTCAGCCCTCGGCCCCGGGCCGGCCGGTCCGGCGGGCGACAGTAATTTGAGATCATCGGTCGGCACGTGTCCACGCGGAGGATCGGTGCGGCGACAGACGATACTTCAAGGAACAGACAGACGAGAGGATACGGCGGTCATACATCAAAGACAGAAGAGACATCACGGACCATCCCTACAGGAAACATAGGAAGCACGAAGGAAACATAGGAATGCGTGTTTTACTGCTAGTTAATTGCTGTCGTCGTCATTATCGTCTTAGTTTAGTTTTTATGCCCGTTTTAGTTTATGTGTATATGGAAAGTGTCAACATCAAAAGTGCCAACATCATGTCACACATCAAAGACAGACAAGACGTCACAGACCATACAGAACGGACCGTTGAAAATGAAAGGTCAAAGGTGACCCATAGGCCTTATGACGCTTCCAAATCCAAAGAGGTCATATCCCACCAAAAGCTCAAATATTCCATTGCATTATATTCCAACCGTTATTGTTATAACAAGCAGACAACGCTAAAGCGTCTGCCGACGGCTATCCTTCAACCGTCTAGGATGCGGTCGATTGTGCGGCGAGGATGCTGATTTAGAGTTTAAGGACGCCCGGACTGCGGTGTTCATCGGCTAAGGATCGACTCCAATCGATGATGTGGTATCCAAGAACCGAGCACGACCGACCTTTTCTGATGTAGACGCGACAGAAGTCGTAATTAGCAGTACCACGATAGTTCTTCCAGCAATAGACACAAATATCATACATCGAAAGAAGGACGCGTGAGCTGTTGGTTTCCCGCAGTTACCCATTTCCGACCAACGTCAGGAACACCAAAATTAAAAGAAGCAAGCCGTATATTGTGAGGTCATTGACGAAAGAATACATGAGTTGAAGCATCCCTAGAGTAAGCACGATTAACACTCATCACACACCTCATCGGTCAATGGATTACACAAGATAATAAATTATACTAGATAACGTTAGCGGTACATAAACGGGCACCCGTCGAGATCGGGAAGGGACACGCGTGTTGGGATATTCCAACACAGGATCACCACATCAATACACATCCTGCCCGCGATCGTAGCGCCCGTTGAAACATATGTGATTAACTTGGACGACAGCAACAAAAAACATATGAACAGTGATTGGTGAGGGTACACATTCATTAATACGTGGATCGGAATGTCTGCATCAGAAGTACACTAGTGGTACGCATTGGTATCGATTAGTTGTACATTCCGCAACATCGCGGACATCAAGGCGTCTGGTCGGTCTGTGTGGGCAGAACACAGCCCGGGGTCTCCGTCAATAGTCCGTGCTCTTCGTCCATAACCCGTTGTCTGTCCCACAGTCTTCTGTTTGCCTCCGCAGTCCGTGTTCTGCGCGAACAGCCTGTGGTCTCCCCCAATTCGTGGTCTACCCCCAGAGTCAGTATCCTGTCTCCACAGCCCTTCGTCTGTCTCCATTTCGTGATTTGCCCTACAGTCCGTCCGTAGTTTGCATCCACAGCTGTGAGGACAGACCATAGCTCATGGTCTGTCCTCACAGTACGTGGTGTACGTCCACAGTACGTGGTGTCCGTCCACAGTACGTGGTGTACGTCCACAGTACGTTGTGTACGTCCACAGTACGTGGTGTACGTCCACAGTACGTGGTGTACGTCCACAGTACGTGGTGTACGTCCACAGTACGTGGTGTACGTCCACAGTACGTGGTGTACGTCCACAGTACGTGGTGTACGTCCACAGTACGTGGTCTACCCCTACAGTCCGTGGTCTGCGTCCAAAGTCCTAGGTCTGTCCCCACAGCTCGTGGTCGTAGTCTACCCCGCAGCTCATTGTCTGCGGTCACCCCTGGTCTGTCACTTTCAGGCAGTGGCCCATGACTCCCACAGTTCGTACTTCGAGCCTATAGTTCACGGTCTGTCCCCAGAGCCAGTGGTCTGGCTCCAAAGTTCGTGGTCTACCCCCAATTCCCCACAGCCCGTGACCTACCCCCCACCGCCCGTACCATACGTCAACATGAACAGTCCGTAGTTTGCGTCCAATCAGAGGTTTGCTCTTAATAAATTGTCAGCCCCACAGTCAGTGGCATACGCTTACAGCCCATGGTCTACCCCACAGTCCATGGTCTGTCCTCTCCCTCTCAGTTCGTGATCTACCGATCATCCATGGTCTGCTCCATCCCCTCAGTTCGCGATCTAACCCACCGTCTGTAGTAATTTACGTCAACAGTCAGAGGTATGTACGCCCTTAGTGGTCTGTTTCCACAGTCCACACTCCATGGTCTGTCCCACAGTCCGCGGTCCACGTCCACAGTCGCGGAGTGACTCGTCTGACACGGATCTCCCTGCCCTGGGGTTGCGCTCGACCAACTATCTCACTCATCCACGGGGTGGGTCTCTAACATCCGCGCCAATGACTCGATATCACAGGTGGGCCGGCGGCGACCGCTCGGGCTCTCCCTACGCGCGCACACAGATGGGCTAACCGCAACCGCAGGCGGCTAGCGGTCGCAACTCACCCACGCCGCCACCGCACACAGTCGCATCCGCTCACCGCAAACCAGGTACTCGGCACAGCTGGGCCAGCTCCCGGACCGACGTACAGACGCAGAGACCGGCGCACCACGGCCGCTCGAGTCCCACGAGTTCCGCCGACCGCACCGCACCCGCCGGCGGCGCCACGTGGCCGCGTATCCCGTGCGGTGCACGTGGCGGGCGCCCGCTCACGTGGCGACGGGCTCTGTCAGAGAGCCGTACTGGCCACCCGCGCCGGCCGAGCGCAGCGGTCGTAATCTGCCAACAGTACCTGGTTTGCGTCGCGTTCCTAGCTCTGTATCTCGTACCTGGAAACGGGCCGGCGTCAGTGGCGGCGGGATCGGGAGGATGGATGATCGTGGAAGTTACAGTATTTACCGACTGTTTTTACAGTTATATGTAATATGTATAAATTTCCTTCAGACATTTCTATTTAGAAGTGAGGTGGTTAATAGCATCACATAATGTAAATCGGTCTTTGTTTTGCTTGCTGCGACTAAAAATATTCTCACTCAAATCTAACATACCGTTTCACACTTATCACGCCCTCTCACCCAATAAAAGTTAAAGCCATATTGTGGTCTTTTAAACAAAGTATCAGTGATTATCAAAATTAACCGCTACCAGCGATTGCCAGAGCTTCAACTAACGCACTACATCAGAACGACCCCATCTCACAACGAAAGTAGGCACGGAGAGCTAAAGCACGCAGCGAAATTTATGTCACGTCTTTAGAGCGTCGGCCAAAGGTAATTTCCTATTCTACTTTAGACCATCTCCCCTTCAATTTGGTGAACCGTTTGTAGCGATGCTGATCTCGAGCCCACAGGAGCGGCCCGGGCCAAATTCCATCCGAATAGTTGATCACGCATCTAAATGAGATCAGCGTAGATGAGCCCGAACCCTTGTCGACCGCTGCATAAATGATGGTTTGCTGAAAGGATTCGCTGCCAGGCGCGGCGCCATAAGACGATGAAAGTAGTTGACATCATTGTGGATGTGCTTGCCGGCTGAATGAATTATGGATGCTGTGACAATGCCACTTTGACTAGGCTTTAATAGCGTTGGAACCATATGTTCAAGGCGGTATTTACATACACGAGCGAACGAGGCGCAACAAAGGCTAAACTCGGGACTAGTGTTGTGCAAAAATCAACTCCATGAAGCAAAAGTAGGACTTCATTGACATAGGACGGAACCAAAGCGCCGTTATGTCGGATACTAACTTTGTCACTTGCCAACAGCTATCACCTACGCAGTTGTGGGCGACTACGTATGGTAAAAGTCGATCGACTTGAGCGCGGCGCAACTACTTCAAGTGATAGCTTTTCGCTCATACGTGGCTCGGCTCTGACGCTAACTCACAGAAGCCAACGGGCATCCCTGTCCCAGATATGGGTGGAGGCCGGAACGAATAAACCGCTTATAGCTAGCGGTATCAAAACGAAGGTTAACTTATATCAAATTATAGAAGACAATAATTACGATAAATTAAAATAAGTAAATCAAATAAAAGCCAAGCAAAAAGCGTATAAGAAAACAACTGAACGTGGGAAAGGGGAATGCCACTGACACTAGCACCGCAACCAAGCAGAGATATACAAACAAACATAGGAAATACAGACCGAAAAAATACAACACAAAAGACGAAAAAGAATAATGACAAAAAAATGAGGGAGACAAATTCATAAATTCCCAACTTACTGACGAAGGAAAAGTGATATTCTTCAAACTCATTTAAATGACAATGGACAGCAGGCACTGAAGAAAGCTGTAGAACTGTTATGCACGAAAAACGCTCTACGATACAAGAGGAGAAAATTCAAGTCGTTCTTGGTAATAACGCAAAATGAATGCATTATGCAAGGGCATGAGCTACTAACGACAATCCTTAGTGGTGGTAAAACAAGCCTAAAAACAAAGTACGCATCCAAAAGGTTAAAACATGCAGATACAAAAAGGCGGGCGACTTCACAAAACAGGAAGAGAGTCAGACGAAAGACACTCTAACGAACCCGACGTAGCCTGACGGCACAGCCACCAGGCATGCAATATTCATCACTATCATGCGTGCTTGTTTGGACGTCACAACCTCTTCCGCGTGCCCTCACAATGTCACATTACTAGCACAGGCAAAAGGCGGCCGCAGTGTCACGCATTACCCCAGTTGCAGGCGCACATGCTATTACATCCGCTCGTCAGCACACAGTCACATACGCAGACACAACCCATCCATGCCCGACCCTGTGCGCCTTATCATCGGCACCTTTCAGTCGCCAGTTGGTGGTACGGCATGCCACGTACGATCAGGGTTCACTAATGTTGGTTCGCAAGCATCAACACACCAGCGTCCCATCCCAGCCACGAGTGCAGTTCTCGGCGGCTTCACTGTCAGTGTCAAAGTCACCGCTAATGCCGAGCTACAGCCAGTGTTGGTGAGAGCCACAGCCAAACCAGCGCCGAGGGAGCGCCATGCCCACTAACCAGCCCCGAGCCATGAACAGCTACGGCCGAGCGAGCGTCTTGACTAGCCCGAGCGGGTCCCGAGCCGAGCAGCACCCAGCGCCGAGCAGCACCCAGCTCCGAACAGCAACGGACATATAGCCCGACATACAGCCTGCTCGCACCGGCTGCTCGGTACAGTCAGTGCAAATGGCATGTCTCTGTATTACCCGGCAAGGGCAATACCGAGACATACCCAGTGTCGGGCGAGCGCCCCGGCCAGCGCCGGCGCCAGCTCTGCCCGTCTGCCGGCGCCGCGTGCTCACCTGGGCGACTCGAACAGCAGGTGGCCTCGCCGCTCTGCCAGCAGCACCAGACCGACGGCCAGCAGCGTCACCGTCAGCCCCAGCAGCAGGTGCAGCAGCTCGTGGCCCAGAGACGGCATCAGGAAGATGCGCAGTTCGAAGCCGATCCACTGCGACTCGGCCCAAGTCGGGTGGTCGCCGGACGACCAGTCGTAGTCTGACGGAGGGCGAGGGTAGGTCAGACTGCAGGACAGCAGCAGGGCAGGCCGGACGACAGACCTCCTGGGCACACAGGATGCTAAACAGAAGTTTGCTTTGCAGGGAAACTACCGCGCAGACACTCCTCCAAATCAAGCTAACACTGAATTTATATGATTTCGAACATACCTCGTAAAGTTAGATTAAAATCGGGCAGCTGACAGTATAAAACACGCTTGGACATATCGCGATTCGCTCTCACCATCTACCATCTACTCAGACATTCACTCAGATTTCTCCTGTAACTCGACTGACAGGGTATCTCCGCACTCACCAGGTATCTCTCCGCACTCACCAGGTATCTCTCCGCAATCACCAAGCATCTCTCCGTAGTCCGTACTCACCATCTATCTCGAATGCAGGGCTGACGGCGCTCGAAACCTCCACCAGTGACCGCGTGCAGTATCCGCTCAGTGTGCCATTCTCCAGCTGTCTGATCAGCCAGCGATGCGAGTAGATCCGATCCGTGTCGTTACGGCACTTGTCAGCGTTCGTCACGTTCGCCAGCGTCTCGCCCGTCCAGCGCGACAGCACGTTGTGGGTCAGACGCATCAGGTACGAGTGCATCGTCGCCTGGCCTGCCACCTGGTGGAAGAGGGGAGAGTTACAAAGCGTTCGGGTGGCACGGCCGGGCGGCGGGAGGCGAAGAACAGTGAACATGGGAGGGCAGGGCAGGGCTCTCCTCCACGCCGCAACCTTCAGTCCGGGCTGGACGGCAACTTTATCTCATGCGGGCTGCTCCCTTGGAGCACCCGTAGCCGGGGCAGTGAGTACTTGGGCTGGTCGGCCTGTCCCTTAGGACGGGCTCAGCCCCGGCGACTCTCTAGGGTACCTGCCCAGACCAATGTCTCTCCCTAATTCCTATCATCCCCCCGACTCTGAATTGGTCTTGTCAGACAAAAAGGGCCTACCCCAACGAAAAAAAATACACTGCATTACAGGACTGAATGCAGAAACGCGGGCAGAAAAAGAGGTGCGGATCATAATTTGAGGTGAAGTCAGACAGCTTACCCACAAACAAATGTAACCAATGAATGGGAAGAGATTTTGGGGCCAACACACCAAACCCAGCCCACACAATGGTTCGTTTCGAAAGTTCTGCCCGACTCCCGCTGGGTGGGGAGGTAGCAACAACACCATAATTCACTTAAGAGTCCGGGCAACTATCCATAAATGCCTTAGTCTTCCACGACAGTCTGGTCAATGCTTATTTATAATTGACCATTGAGGTCACCAGTCGAGAGCCGTAGGGGAGAGTGGGGTAATTTGGCCGGTGGTGTAAATTGGCCGCCCCCACCTGTACGATGTCTAATAAAAGTGAGTGAAATAACTCTAGTCTCTATTCATTTGTCATGGGTAGAAATAACTGGAGGACAAATGTCAAAACTTTGCCCCTCGTAGTTTTATTCAAAATTAATAAAACGTTAATTTCATTAGAAAATGGTAACTTTTACTTCTGTTTATAAAGTTGTATAACATGTAGTATTTGGGCTAAAAACGAATTCAGACATTATAGCGCCATTCTTGGGGGTGTTCAACGGTTCCAAGAGCAATTTTATCTAATTCTGTAAGGCCGCGATGACTTTATAGACAAAAAATTTCAGAATGGCAATATGGGGTAAATTGGCCGGGACTAGCGGGGCAACTTGGCCGGTGCGCTCATGGTCACTATGCTGGGACGGCCGAGTTTTCATGGTCAATTGTACCATAAATGACATGATTCATGACCAACTTTGACTACTTTGATGCCTTACTTCCGATTGGTCAACTGTAAGAGCATGTGACGTCATCAAAGGTTACCAAACGTTTTTTTGCTAATAAATCCTTACATAAAAATGGTACAGCCGCACAAATGGTCTCATTCTGTTCAGCTCGCCAAGGCGCATCGAATGACATGCATGATGACCTTGAAATCACGTGACCTTGAGGTCAAGCGACCTGATGCAACGTGACCTGAGGTCAACCTTTGACCTTGACTTCTCAAGGTCAACACATATATCTTTCGATGCGGACTGACGAGAGAATTACGATGGTACTCGAAGTTTTGGCCTAGCTTGATTACTTCAAAAGTTATTCGTAAAAAACTGTGATCGCATCTAGAGCCGCTAATTTGGCTATTTTGACCCCTGTGACCCCTGAGCCAACCTCCAAAATGCGGCAAATGCGTCATAGGACACACGTCATTGCTGAATCTGAAGCTGACTCGCAATATAACAGAAAATCCCGACCGCAAACTAACACCGGCCAAATTGCCCCACACCCCCGGCCAAATAACCCTGCTAGTGGGGCAATTTGGCCGCCTTGCAGACCTTTGTAATACGTCACAATTTCAATATAAGCAATTACTCTATCATTTCAAGTTCTCTGTCCAGTAAAGTAAAATGAATGCGACACCTGCCAGCGTTGAGAAAATGCAGAAATGTGTCGTCAATTTTAAGTTATATCGTTTTCTAAAAAAAGCGGCCAAATTACCCCACTCTCCCCTAATTGGTTGCACCTATCGGTATCCTATGACAAGCCAGATGAGCATCCAGCGGCGACACACCACCATCCCATACGTACCGACACATAGGTGGGCAGCGGCCTGTTCTTCTGCCAGAGTCTGGTGAGCGTTTTGTCGCTCATCTCCGAATCCATAGCGTCTCTGAAGAGGGAGCAGTTGGCACGCACCAGGTAGCACTCCAACAGGTCGGCCACCTGTCGGGGGGGGGGGGGGAGGGCGTAATCAGACGCAGACAGGTGTTACGAGTTACGACAGGCCCGCCGGGTGCATGCTGCATAACAGACAGACGGACAAAGAAGTACGACGGACAGGCTCGAGTCAGGCCAGACGCACAGACGGATCAGGACTAGAAAAAAGTGTAATACCGATTGTAGCGCACTAAAATTAGCCAGCTAAATTTACATTAGGCTTCCCTAATCACTCTTCATTTTATATCTGCAACTTCCCTCCCAAGCTAGACTTGTGATCCTCTCTACTCCGTGCCTCCCTTTCTCACAACCGCTCTCTCCTCGCATCCCTACACCCCTTTTTGCCCTCCCACTCGGGCCATTCCTCCTGTCCCTCTCCATGCTGTCCCAAGCAGCGATCCTCTCCCCTCCGTCGTCTCTCACCCATTTTTTATCCACAGTGACGTCGGGCGCCGTCTGCCCGGTGGCCAGGCCGTAGGCAGCGCTCGCCACCACCTGGGCCAGCCGAGACAGCCGGTCTGCCAGCTCCGTCAAGTCGCCACCGGTCGTCACTGTCGAGCGTACGTCGTACACGCTGTGGAAGAAACTGACGCACGGGGGGAGGGGGAGAAGTTAGTGGAGTAGACATCAGAGGGGTGCTTATCTCTGCTGAATGGCATAAAGGCAAGGCAGAGCTGTTCCTGGCAGCTCACATTCGCATGTTGCTCCGGGCATAGTGATGACCTTACTCGGATATGACAATTGACAAGGAACATAAAATCTGCACTGGTTTGCTAGGTTTACTATTGATATACAACACAAAATTTTTGATCTTTTTCATTGAAATCGCCATGCCTCTAGAATAAATATTGCATTGCTAAACATAAAACTATCTGTCTCTGTTGACAGCTTGATATACCTTATCATTATCAAATTTTGCAATATTCCTTATGCTATCCATCACTTTGAAGCCGATCACCTTTCGCCCTACCGGGCTGGTACCCGCAAGGTATTTTCGGGATCTGTTGGCACCAATTCGCCACACTGAACTAATACACTCGGGGGCAGATTGATGTTCCACCACTCCCTACCCATCGGGCTCCCATGGCTCAGCACTGGCTGCTGCCAGTGGCAGCACTGGCAGCACTGGCACCGGCAGGCAGTGCTGAGCAGTGCTGAGGGCAGACAACACTGGCAGCAGCCAGTGCTGAGCCATGGGAGCCCGATGGATAGGGAGTTGTGGAACATCAATCTGCCCCCGAGCGTACAATGCTGAGTGGTTTACATTGCTGTTACACTGCTGTTTCCGCGCAGTGGTCAGAGTTGCCACTGGCTCCCTCCGAGGCCTGTGACGTTCGAGCGACTCTGTCTGCCGGTACCTACCTGTTAGTGTAGCTCTGGTTGTGGTCGGTCACCACCAGTCCCGGCACGGTGTCGTTTCCCCTCAGCAGCGCGTGCAGAGAGGAGGGCGGCAGCGGCGTGCCCGGCGCCGGATCCGCCAGCGGTACGTCGTACCGGCCCGGATCGGCGTAGGTTCGCAGACTGTTCATCAGCTCTCGGACCTGGGTGGAGACGGCCGGATGGTCAGCGCAGCTCAGCAACCCTGACCAGTGGGTGCCGTCACACTACAGGGGCGGTCAGACGAGCCATTCTGATCGACGAGTAACGGGGAACAGCTTATTAGACAGAACACATAGCACTTACACAGCACAGAACACAGCACAAGTCACACGTCCTTCCATGTGCATGACCAGTGTGTGAATTTCTCGCAAGGCCCAGCAATCAACTCCACAAAAGAACTTTCGTCATGGCAAGTCAGCGCCCCAGCAGAGTCAGGACACATGCGTCGGGGTTTTACGCTCTCAGACAGCTTTCCTGTCAAGGTCCCACTCCAGTCCTTCCTCACGGCTTACCTTGCTGTCCACCTGCGGGCTCTTGCGACGAGTAACGGGATCCGAGTGTAGAAAGAGCGGTGTCCCTCGCGCCAGCTGGTTCAGCTCCAGGTAGTAGCTGACGTTCGAGAGGCGCATTGGCGCTGGACGGCGCTTCGAGCCAGCCTTCTCATCGTCAGGGACCACGGCCTGCGGCGGGAACTTGCCCAGCGACATGTCGTACACCATTCGATCCGAGCCGATGTAGTCGAAACTCTCCTGGAAAACGGAAGGGGAAGCCGGTGACACAGAGCAGACTAGGAGAGCAGTGGCGAAACTGGAGAGCTTCTGATGATCGGCATTACAAGAAGTGTGCCAGTGGTGAAGGAAGACTGGAGTCAACCGATGTGCATTTTGAAACATAAGAAACAAGGTTATTGGACACAAATTATGCCAGTTAGAATACGTCACTAGTGCCGGTAAAATGAAGCACCGGCTCTGCTTCCTTGTATCTGCTTTCATTCACGAACCAAACCGAACACAAATGAAATATACAATCCTGTGTCAATCTCAGGCCTAAATGTCTTAACACATCACAAAAGCAGCAGCGAAACACATACACCAAGGGACACATCTCCCGTCTTTCCAACCCGTTGGGACACTCACCCCGCTGAAGAGCATGAACATGACGTTGGTGGTGGTATTCTGAGGCGGGGTGAGGTCGGCCATGGCTCGTGCGGCTGCCATCAGGGCGACCATTCCCACCACGGCCGAGTCAGCGCCGGGCGCCAGCCGGTCGAACATGGTGGCCCCATCCGTACGCGCCGCCACCAGCACCGTGTCAGCGGCCGGCGCCGGTGCCGCCGCCGGCGGCAGCCAAGTGCTGAACAGGTTGGTGGAGCCCATAGGCGAGCAAAACGCGCCCGTCTGTGTGGCGAGCAGGTTCTGTCTCTGCGAGCGTCGCCAGCAGATCTCGGAGTTACCGGCAGCTGACATGAAGGTCTTCATCTGGGCGGCGCAGCGCGGCCACGGACCCTCCGCGCCGGCCGAGTTGTACTGGTGGTGGCACTGCGGTGGGGCGGGGGAGATGGTCAGAGCGAGGAGGCGGGATAGTACCGGGCTATCACGCAACACCACAGACAGCTGAGCGGTGAGGTGGCAGCTCATAGTGCACAGAAATGAGAAGAACCAAACAAAATGGTAGAAAATCTGCCTCGAGACCCATCATCACACATAACAAAATTCCTCAGAAAATGTTATTCCCTTCCCCAGCAAATTTAAATCAAGAACAGCATGAGCATCAAGCATTCTACCACTTAACACTATCCCTTCCGGTCACAGCAAACCAGAAACAGCACACAGACCAGACTCTGAGCTATCCGACCGTCACCTACCAAGGCGTCAGGTCACCGTATCCCTTCTGAGGCACTCAGTAACACATCCAGTGATCTCAGCACGTTAGCATACACTCGGTTCCTCCCGTTCCGCCGCTCCCGGCCTCTCACCTTCACCAGGTCGTCGATCTGCGTCTGGTTCTTCAGCAGGATGATGGGGAAGCTCCAGCTGCGCTTGAACATGCCGGTGCCGGCCGGGTTCCACGGCGTCTTCGGACAATAGCGGAACTCGGCCGAAGCGGGGTCGGACCGGTAAAAACCTGGTGAAACAGAGACGACATTCACAACGGAGTCAGCCAAGGGTTCCAGCATGCCTAGCGACATATGCTTACGAATGAACAAAAACTAAAATGGAGATTTATCAGCAAATAAAGCATGCAAACTCAAAATAATATGATTGACCAACAGCCTCGCAAAAATACGAAAGAAACTGTCTTGCATTTGGTCGCCGACTTATGTTTTCTCAAGCAATGGTACGAGGAAAAGGGTAGGGCTATTTGATGTCTCGTTTATATGCAATGTGCAGCGTTCCAAAGAACTCAGATGGCTTCTGTTCTTTGCAGCCATAGTGTCAGAGCCCATCCCAAGTGACTGAGCAGAGGCACATCCCAGCCTCGGTAGATATCGGAATTCAGAGCCGCGGCCGCTCTAAGCACGGTGGCCAGTCAGTGCGTGTGACGCCCTCCAACCCTCCCCTAACGTTATTTCAGACGTCCCTCCGCCGCGCATCACAGTCGAGAGAAAGGTACCGCAGAGATGTGTTCTACATACAAACTACCCCGTCCGGTAGGTATGCAGTTGGCATTGAGAGCTGCGGCCCACGCGGAGTGATTTTGAAGAAAGCGCTGTAGGGCAGGCTGCAAGCGGTCGAGTCCCGCAACATGCGCAATATTTTCCCGTTTGTGACCAATGTTCAATACAAGGTGCATTTTAAATAGGCAACTGTCATTCAGAAAATGCTGACATTACGATATTATGACCCAAACCAAAATAAAACAGGCTTACATGTCAACAAATCAGCATTTCACCTGCTTCGCTGTGTGACTAAGCTTTCTGTCATAGACATTGTGAGAAGTGATGCTAAGACCGCCTGACCCATAGTAGTTACTCAAAGCAGATGCATTTGGGGCCAGGAGCAAGTAATCCCAAATGAAAACATAAATTTTACAAATGTTGGACGACATATTATTCGCATTTCGCTTCGCATGCCAGAGAGTACACATTTTCGCAGCAGAAAGTTTTAGCAGGTGCAGTGAGGCACGCAGCCTGTTCGGCTGTCCACTCACGGCCAGTGACCCCTCCCCTCCCCCGCACCGGCCTTGGTCTCCGGCCGGGGGCTGCGTGGGCGGGAGAGAGAACCGGCTAGCTCGGGATGGGGCGCCCGCCCCTCTGCACTGGGAGACCCCGCCTCCCTGCACTGAGAGAGGTGCAGAGGAGCAGCAGGGAGGGGAGAGGGGAGGGGAGAGGAGAGAGTGGCCACCAGCACCGGTCAGCCGCTCCTCCGCCGGCCCGCCGGCCACTTGGCAGTCAGCCGTCCCCCGCCGTCGCAGTCGCCGTCTCCCAGCACAGCCCGGTTCACCATGAGGTTCCTGCTCGCCGTGGTTATTGTTCTGCAGGTGAGTAGTGCACCCGAGTATCCGGCTCACGATGTAGGGGCATTAGGTTTTGAGGACTAAACACTGACTTATGTAAAGCGGAAGATAGGGTGATACGGTGCCTGTGATAGATGATAGGTGCGATTAGGGATAGGTGGTCCATGATAGTGGCTATATGCACGTAGATATTGATCTTTGTGTTTAGAGCAACGAAGCGTAGATCATAACACGCCATCAGGTACATGTATTGGAGAGAAAATCATAATGATTCTTACGTCGACCAGGCATTACATAACACTTCTCCTCATCGCATATTTTTGGGTAAGACGGTAACTAACTATAATGGTCACGACAAAAATAAAGTCACTTTTCAAGGGGATTAGGTAGAGCATTCATTTCCAGAAGTAAAATTATTCATTATCTTGAATTGGCTTGCATCTTTATCGACGTTTCGCTGACGCATTAGCTGTCGATCACCTTTATGACTTACGTTTTTTTTTAGGAAACCGTAAAAGAGTAAAAAAAAAAACGAATAAAGGCTTAAGTGCCCCCTAACGCGGAACGTTTTTAGCCAAATACGCCACCGAGGCACTGCCCAGTGCCCAGACACCCAGGTCCTAGTTAAAGCACAAGTCTGGTTGTGCAAAACGTCAAACCATCACATGCTATGTCGACCCAGCAAACAGCGACTGCCTTCGCCATATCCCGACCGTCCCGAACCGGCCCAACACTCTCCCGTGGCGTTCGTGTTGCGAGAGGCTATCCGCCGGGGCTACAGCTGACTGGTTTATATCGACACTTTGCGCAACCCAAGGCCGCAGCCTGGCTGCATTAGTGATGCGGCACATGTATCGACTCCGCGTGTCACAGACGTTTGACAAGATATAGTACCGGACGGTACAAGTCACCAACGTTTGAGTCACTGATAAGAAGATGTGACCGCCAGTGGATAGCAATTATTGGCAGATACGCAACAGCTTGATGCCAAAAGTCATTCTGATGCATCGTAATTCTTGCAAACCTACTGTTCAAGCATTTACGGTCAAACATTTTCGGCACACAGGTGTGCTTCTAGCTCGACAAAAAGTGAAGCTGGTGTCCCGTAAATCTGACGCAAAAACGGTCGGGACAAAACTCCCCAGCATATTGCTTGGCTTTAACAATGTCTCGTCATTCTTCCCTGTAATCACTTTGCTTTTTGCCGATATCAGTCGTGTTTCATTCAGCGCCACTGTACTTAAACGTGATGATCAATTAACTTCAGTACCTATACCTGTTGAACTGATGTACAGAGATCAGTGCAACATCTCCTCATGTTGCAGGGAGCACATCACCGTATTCTAACCAGCATCTCCCGTCTTCAGCTACGGTGTTTCAGGCCCCGTATTTAAGCTCTCCGTCTTTCAGCCACCGTGTTTTAGCTGGTATTTCAGCCCCCCGCTGTGTTTCAGCTGTTGTCGCTGGCGCTGTCGGCTCCGCGGTACTACATCACGGTGGCGTCCGGCCTGCCGCCGCCCGCCGAACAGCGCAGCAGATCCTCCCTGGACGCCAACTCGGGGTTCGTCATCACCGTCATCCAGCCCGGCGGAGGGGTGCAGCCGCAGCCGCAGCCGCTGGCACGGGACGCTCCGGACGCCTGAGAGGGGACGACCGACCGACCGACACCGCCGGGCACACGGACAGATCGACACCGCAGGGGACAACGACAAACAATCGAGCCGCGTCAAGGAGCAGCTGTAGAAGGAATCGAGCTGCGTCACGGCCCGGGCTACGTCACGGGTCGAGCCGCGTGACGGACTGAGCCGCGTCACGGAGCGACTGTAGCACGGCATGGACAGAGCTGAGCCGTGTCACGGAGCCGTGTACTAACAGAACACTTGTAGAGGGCGAACATGATGTCCTGACTGATGCAGCTAATTGAAAAAATGTGTGACATGTGTAACTGCACTGTGTATTGTGATGTTTCTTAGTGGAATTAGTGACAAGGGTAGCATTAATACTTTTGCTCTTCAAGTACAGCACAATACTTGAAGTTCAGAGTGTATTAGCAGTTGGCAATGACTAGCCAACCCAATCACCTCCGTTCATGGTCGTATTCATACCGCTCTCGGATATATGACACTCATACATAATCGTTTCATTCATGAATCCACTGGCGCTTTTTCAAGAATATGCACGGTCATGGCCCAAAGAAACTTAACTGTGCGTATGCAGTTCCTCACCATTATGCCCCCAAAATATACAGATGCCATACATGACCATTAACAAATATAAATTTAGGTACATGAACCCGGTCCATGATGCCTTAACGACGCCGACGTTGCCCACCATAACGAATAAACTTGCGTGAAATCATGCGTTTGTGCTCACTATGGTGGTTCAGATCTCAATGGATCAAGCAAACACATGACGGTGAATACATTTTTGACGAAAAACATCACGCAAAGCTTCAGCTATTGTGGGAAAAAAATTGATCGCTTGACCTGATGGAATCTGCACCATTTAACTGAAATATCGCTATGGCGAAATTAACATCTTGATATTTTTGCGGTCAGCCTTTCACATGTGTCGCGTTCTAATGTGTCGGGAGGGGATAGAATCATGTCAGAGTGACATCAGATAGGGAGGGAAATGGCCGACATTGTACAGAGGAAGTGTGCGGCGATCGGTACTCACTGGACCAGCGGTTCGGGCAGCTGTCGTCCTCAGAGTACTGAAAGGCCTCGTCCGGGCCCCAGTCCTCGTCAGGCAGCATCAGAATCACGCCCTTCACGTCACCTGACAACGAACACATCACCGGCGTCAGTACGTCAGTTCACGACAGCAGCGAGGGGTGAGCAGCATGGACAGTTTTCAGGCGGTGAAATGTTTATATTACAGTGACGATGTCATCTACCCAGAAGCCATAAGCCTCAGTTCCCGTATCTACGGCAGCTGTCAGGTCAGAAGCAGCCGTGCTGTAGCTGCCTCGTAGCTGTAGCTGCCTCGTTACTTTCCGCCTCTGAGTCTGAACTCACCCCAGCCCAGCAGCTGGGAGTTGATTAGGCCCTGCACCAAACCTCCCAACGGTCTGCCCTGAACTTACGAGTACCTCAGTTAACTGCGAAGGCCCCTTTTGCCCACTCTCGTGATACCCCAGCGTCATGGGTGTGAACCATGTATTGATCCACTCCGAGTCTCTGAATCAACTCTGATCAGGGTCGACCCCGCACTCCCCCCTCACTCTCCCAGGTCTTTCCCCTACTTTGCACCTCGGTCTCAGCTTGGTCCGTCCCGTGCCCATCCTGCTTGGGATCATCCAGCAATCCAGCATCCACACTGGTCAGGGGCGTCACGCATCCCCTCCCCACTGGCCCGTGTTCTACCCTGTACCCACCGCAGCCTGGGCCCACCCCGCAACCACCACTTTGTCCGGGGTCGCACCCACCCTGCTACCCTGAACTCACCCTGATCGGGGTCGGCCGTCATCCTCTCCAGCCGCTGTAGTGTGTCCACGGTGAACCATTGGCGCGGCACCACGGCCACCACCGACTGCCGCTCGCCGGAGGTCGTTAGCCGCGTCAGGTCAGCACTCGAGTTCACCACTCGCAGTAGGCCCACGTTGCCGGTGAAGTCGGCTGAAGTGCAGAGTAAGAGGAGTCAGTTATAGGTAAAGGTGGGGCGCAGAGTGGTATAGGACTACAAGAGTGAGAGACGTAGTCATGCGATCAAAGCAGACGAAGGCACGGATCAAATCTTTGTTTGATCGTCCCTCGCCCTCGACCTCGCCGGCACAGGGGGGGGGGGGGGGGGTTGATGCAACCCCCCCCCCTAAGGTTTTTCGCGAATAACTCGCGTAAAAAGCGGCCGATCGCGACGAAACTTTCAGTACCCTCGCATTGATCAATTTCACACCTACCCTGAAAATTTCATGACCCTGACCCCAATGACCTTTGACCTGTGACCTCTTTTCTGTGACCATGTTTGGCCGAAATCGCGGTTCGGCGCATGTCGGCTCGCATTAGCCGCGCGTTTGCAAGCTTTTCGTGGTTTCAAACGTTCAAACATGTGATTTGATGTTGCTCCCATGCATTAGGGTGGGTGTCAAGGTCACCTGAAGGTCAGGTCAGGTCATTGACCTATGGTGACCTCGGGTGAACTCGGTTCACTTTTCGAGTTTTACATGTTTCTAGGCTAGTTTTTGGAGCTGAATTCGAATTTAGTAACCATTTGAACATTTACGAAGTAGTTTTGGTGCCTTCGTAACATATTACGAAGCTGTCCGAGGCGGTTGACACGTATTACGAATACCCGTCACAACCCCTACCGGTTGACCTGACCTGACCTGACCCGACCTGGCCTAAATGCTTAAAGACATCATCTCTGATCAAAACTAACACGATATTCGTGATCAGCACCCCGGAAAACCACATAGCAGCCACACTTTACGACTTTCTAACAGGTCCCGATTTTCCCGGTTTTCGGGTCATTGACCTGACCTGGAAGGTCACCCGATGACCTAGGACCTTAAAATTGGGTATCATCGGGTTCCTCTCGTGACGGGCAACACGCTCGTTTTTTCCGCGAAGCTCTAGCTCGATCAGGGGCCAAACGCGAGGGGGAGGGGTCGTACCAACCCCCCCCCCCCCTTGTGCCGTCGAAGGACTCAAAATGGCCTGTGCCGGCGAGGGTTAAGGTCCATCTCAGTACAAATTGACTGTGACAAGAAGCAAATTTGACACAAATAGACAATGTAGCATTGCTGCACCAAAAGGCATAGACAGTTTTATAGCACGCCTATTGAGAAGCAAGAACTTATCTAGCCTCCCATCTACCCCAACCAAAGTTCATCAGTGGTTAGATGTGACAACATGAAAGAAACAGACTTACCTCTGCAGCCAAATTCATGTGTTCCATTCAAAATCTTGAAGCAGCTGTATGTTGCATCCAGATCCTGGTAAATGGACTCCCAAATTCGATTGGCTGTTGCTGTAACAAATAACATCAATTAATTATATTGCATGTCTAACTAATAAAATCATTATTGCCTTTGGGCTGCTTCAACATAGGCATTATTCCCATACCTAACCAGATAGCAAAAACATGCAAATTGTCATCACCATAGTTCCGAACATGTCATTTCTCACAAGCAGTATCGATACATCAGTGAATTTTAGGACTTAGGCTTATTCAAGGAAAATGAGAAATGGACAAGTATTCAACTTGAAAGATCAGACGACAGGTACCAAAGGTGGGAATCATCTCTTACAAAGTTGACTAGTATGTCAGTGAACTCATTCTAAATTTTTGCCAGAAATGTTGGCAGAAAAAAATAGGAAACATCTACAATAGGTGCAGCAAAAATTGATATTTTCAGAGTAGGTACCTACCTTCACTTGACAGTAGAAGAATTGTTGTCATCCATATCAGCCACATAGCAACCAATCTTCAATAAGGTTTCCTGGGACACAATCGCTGGCACTGGAGGTTCAACAACAGTTAGGCTATAAAAATATCTAATTGATCACCTGGACAAAGGACCAGTGAAGCTTCCTGAAAATAGGGGCATAATTAGATACCTAGGTACCTGAGAGAACAGATGATTCAATTCAACACATCCCTGCTAGTCCAGGGCAAGAAACAATGGACAATGGAGCATTGACTATAAGAAGTTATTCAAATCTACCACATTAGCAGCCTGAACAAAACATATTGTGCCTGGGATTGTGATGCCTAAGCTTTCCTATCAAAGCCTGAATGGTATTTCTGCATAGCCTGCATTATCTCAGCATCTGTCACAGGTCCCCTGACTCTTAGCTCACAGACTGTAGCCATGCTTTCAACCTGCAAGCCCAGCTCCCCAACCCACAGGTAAGGTTGTATTAAGGGCATAAATGTGGCATGGTAAGTATCACTACCTAGCAAATAGGCATACTAAATGGTAAACTCCTACTCTGAGACTTTTTCCATCTAATAACTTCTGCCAAACTATGGAAGCTTATTAGGAATCATACCTTACAAATTCTCACCATTTAGATCAGATTACATCTTGTATTACAATTATGACATAAGTCATAACTCAGAGGTTAACAAATCCAAAACTGAGCTGCAGAGCATAATGAAAACTGAAAACTGTAAGGCAGAGATACATTAGCTCATGCAAGGCATTTTATCAGATTCTGTATCACATATTTAAAAAAAAAAGTTTAGATGTTCATTGGATCATCAACATCATCAAGTTAAGATGTTTTGACTATACCTACTGCAAATCCGTACAGAAACCGGTAGTTGTTGCCTGTGCTACCTGTGGTGTTACTATCATCAATGAACTTGGGGAGTGATCCTGTTATTACAAATTTCAAAACAACTAAATGTGTGATCATGGCACAACCACCTTGAAGTGCTTGTTTTATGCATCATTCTCTGAATGTATGTGCAGTCTGTATTGTGCTCCTCCCTAATATCAACCTTGTGAATTGACGTGCAATGGTGAAAAGCCAGCATGCTGTTGACTTATCGTTAATAAATTAATCTGAATCTGAATCTGAATCAGCAGCAGCCCTAATAATTGCAGGATAAGAAACTGGTTAAGGTGTCATCCTGTAGTGTGGCGAATGCCACCAAGTGGAAAGTCCAATCCCCATGCCGCCTGCTTTTGCTATGTGGGCATTGTCCCCAGACCCCAGGTCAACATTGCCAATTGTAACATTTAACGGCATCATTTTACTTCATTAAATAACATGTTGAAAAATAGAGTAAAATAAGTGAGATGCTATGAAAATAGCTACAACTAAAAAACTAAAAAAAGGCTAGGTACCTAGTACCTACATGGCTAAACCTTTAAGTTTCTTCGTAAATTTTTTGTCGCTGATGAGCAGCCCTACTTGCTTGAACTTAACACAATCATCAATGATCATAGTCCTTAAATATTTACATAAATATAATCTGAAAAAGCAGATATCAATATGACTATGATATCAATTGTTATTATCCGCACGGTGACGGTATAATAAATAATAATTGAAATAATCATACCCGAAACAACGCCTCTATACCGCTATCCGATAACACATATGAAAAAAACACGCGCCACTTTTGCGACCATACCGTCATTTCAGATTTTTTTTCAAGATTATATCAAAAGACCACGGACTCCTATGAAAAATTATTGACGTCATAAGAACTTTTGCTTTTCAAATGACGTCATTATGATGAAACGATGCATTAGATTAGATCTATTCGGAAGTTTCAAACATGCTCAACGCTAGATGACAAATGGAGTATATTCGTTGCGTTCGGATGAGGTCAACCCTAGATGTTGACCTAGGGTCAAGGTCAGGTCAGAGCCCCCAGGTCAGGTCACGAAGCTGGTCAAGGAGGTCATGTCGCATATCATTCGATTCGGCAAGACTTCCTGAGTTGAGTCCATTGGTGGCTTTCCCCGACTCGCTAGCTCAATCTGACCGGAAGTTATTTGCGAAAAACTCTCATGACCGACGTCACGCAAGGTCAGCAATGCACACTGGCGGATCCAGGCTTGCGTTTTGGGGGGGGGGGCAACTCATGCGGTGCCAAACCTAGGGTACCCCCAAATCCTGTTTTCTCATCGGATTTAGGCCACTTATTTTTCGTCACAGCCCTGACACTATGATTTTTTTTTAACTAAAAAAAATATATATAAATGGTAGCCCACCCGACCCATGCCTTTATATTACTTTGTGAACACTTACCATTGCTTTTGTCGACCAGTTAACCTGCTTCGAGTCAGTGCTTGGGTCTCTTTGCGGGCCGTGAGGTGGTAAAACACCCCCAGTCTAACTCGACTCCTGGGCCACGCACTGATTGAACTATGTTTCATTATCGTTTGGGGGAGGGGGCAAATGGGCCACTTTAGGCCTCTGGGAAAGGGGCATGGCCCTAAATGCCTCGTCCCTGGATCCGCCAGTGTAAGAGACCATTGGTCTGGAGCTGCAGTTGGGTACCTCAGACGTCAGGGTACGCCCTCAGCTCAGATGTATAGGACTCGCGTGGAGACCTCTTATGCTATAGTGGACTGAAAGGACCCGATAGACGTGGGCCCTCAGGAGCCCGCCAGAGCCCCCAATTGTGAGGGATAAGTGAGGGATACCATTTACCAAGTGCCTATAGTTGCATATTGCAAAAGCCATAACGCCTTTACAAATCAATATATTATGTATCAGTGGCAGATCCAAGGGGGGCCACATGGGTCATGACCCCCCTTGGTGCCCGGGGGCACCACAGGCCTGTCAGGGGCACCACCGGCCTAGCAGGGGCACCACCGGCCTAGCAGGGGCACCACCAGCCCGCCAGGGGCACCACAGGCCTAGCAAGGGCACCACGGGCCTGTGAGGGGTCCCACAGGCTTGTCAGCGGAACCCCAGGTCTGTCAGGGACACCAGAGACTTTCCAGGGGCACCACCGGCCTCTCAGGGGCGCCATGGGCCTGTCAGGGGCACCAGAGGCCTAGCAGGGGTACCACAGGCCTTACAGGGGCACCACCGGCCTTGCAGGGGCACCTTGGGCCTGTCAGGGGCACCACAGTCCTGTCAGGGCCCAGGGGCACCAGGGGCCTAGCAGGGGCACCACAGGCCTGCCAGGGGCACCACCGGTCTAGCCTTTACAAATCAATATTATGTATCAGTGGCAGATTCAAGGGGGGCCACATGGGTCATGACCCCCCTTGGTGCCCGGGGGCACCACAGGCCTGTCAGGGGCACCACCGGCCTAGCAGGGGCACCACCAGCCCGCCAGGGGCACCCCGCACCACAGGCCTAGCAAGGGCACCACGGGCCTGTGAGGGGCCCCACAGGCTTGTCAGCGGCACCCCAGGTCTGTCAGGGACACCAGAGACCTGCCAGGGGCACCACCGGCCTCGCAGGGGCACCATGGGCCTCGCAGGGGCACCATGGGCCTGTCAGGGGCCCTACCGGCCTCGCAGGCATCACGGCATCACGCAGGGGCACCTTGGGCCTGTTGGGGGTGCTTTAGGCTTGTCAGGGGCACCACAGTCCTGTCAGGTCCCAGGGGCATCAGCAGCCTAGCAGGGGCACCCTAGGCCCGCCAGAGCCACCACAGGCCTGCCAGGGTCCAGGGGCACCACAGGCCTAGCAAGGGCACCACGGACCTGTCAGGGGCACCTCAGGCTCCCGTGCCCCCCCCCCCTGGATCCGCCAGTGATGCCACACCACGCGAAACACCGCCAACTACCAGCTGCCGCGCTATAAACACGTGCCAACAACAGTCTTTTTTGGACGACGGTGAAAACAGGGCGCCTGGGGCGATTTGATCAAGGTTCGTGAAATTCACACGTGATGTTTTACATGTAGAAGGCCCATGAAGGGGGAGAACTTCCAAATGTCACGTGACTAATATGCCCTCCGGCGCTCTGTTTTCACCGGCGTCCTCTTTTTTTTGTAGGTCGACTCCGCTCGCGCAACTTTTGACTGACCCTCACTGCTACCATATTGCTTCCATATTATGCTGTGGAAAGCTTTACTTCACCAAGTGGCTAAAAACCTCCATCAAGGTATATTTTCTTAGCAATTTTTCTGACGTTTTTTGGGGGGGGGGGCAAACAGGCCACTTTAGGCCTTTGGGGGGGGCATGGCCCCCGTGGCCCCCCCCCCTGGATCCGCCAGTGGCAATGCAAACGTGAAGCATTGGAATTTGGACCAAAAGTTCATGAAATCACGATTCCATGTTTCCATGTTCCATGAGATAGTTTAACCCTATTACTGGTGGGCTTTCTGGACTATTATGGTGAGGTTACGTGACCTACCTGACCTAATGTGACCCTTAGGGAAAATCCGAGATATACAAGTTGTGAGACCTCTGAAAGATACTCCTACGTCCCGTAAGTTTCAGAGTTATTGTGAAAAAACAATATGGCACGTCATTCGCCCTCTCCCCCCTCGGCCGGCGAGGTTTAAGCGTTCGGGAGACATCGCAAATATTCGTCAGGGGGGGGGGGGGGGTGAAAATCCCCCCAGGCCCGCGAAGGTTAACTATCCTGAAGATGGAAGCGACGGAACGGAGGGAAGCCAGACTTTTGCGCAGCCTTCCTAATGCATCGACCGTCTCTTCAAGATCGATAGGTGTGTACGTACGCGGTAACGTAATAATGCAGAAAGTCGTCGTTTTCATTGCGACACGAATATATTGTTTTTACGACAGGCATGGCAGACACAGCGCGTTCATGACCGCACAACAGCGACGAGCAGGCACCAGCAGAGCATCTGAGAACGGACAGACCCGAACAGACCCAAGGACAGACCCGAACAGACCCAAGGACAGACCCGAACAGATTCGGACAAATCCGATAGATCGGAGCCCGGCTGGACAGGGAAGACGGACTGGCAACCATCCTGACATCTGGCGACAGAACATCGTACTAAACGTTCACATAAGCAGGCAGTCACCACCCTTTGAGATCTTAACCCTCGCCCGTATTGGTGTTTTTCCAGCGGCAAACGTATAAGGGGGGGGGGGTCCGTTGGACCCCCCCTTGCCATTTCGCCCCTGATCGAGCTAGAGCTTCGCGGAAAAAACGAGCGTGTTGCCCGTGACGAGAGGAAGCCGATGATACCTAATTTTAAGGTCCTTGGTCATTGGTTGACCTTGCAGGTCAGGTCAATGACCTCAAAGTCGGGAAAATCGGGACCTGTTAGAACGTCGTAAAGTGTGGCTGCTATGAAGTTTTTCGGGGCGCTGATCACGAATATCATGTTAGCTTTGATCACAGATGATGTCTTTATGCATTTAGTCCAGGTCGGGTCAGGTCAGGTCAGGTCAACCAGTAGGGGTCCTGCCAGGTATTCCTAGTAGGTGTCAACCGCCTCTGACAGCTGCGTAACATGTTACGAAGGCACCAAAACTACTTCGTAAATGTTCATATGGTTGCTAAATTCGAATTCAGCTCCAAAAACTGGCCCAGAAACATGTAAAACTCGAAAAAGTGAACCGAGGTCACCCGAGGTCAGTGACCTGACCTGACCTTCAGGTGACCTTGACACCAACCCTAATGCATGGGGGCAACATCATATCACATGTTTCAACGCTTGAAACCACGAAAAGACTGCAAACGCGCGGCTAATGCGAGCCGACATACGCCGAATCGCGATTCCGGCCAAACATGGTTTCGAAAAGTAGGTCACAGGTCAAAGGTCATTGGGGTCAGGGTCATGAAATTTTCAGGGTAGGTGTAAAATTGATTAACGCGAGGGTACTGAAAGTTTCGTCGCGATCGGCCGCTTTTTACGCGAGTTATTCGCGAAAAACCATGGGGGGGGTCTGTTCGACCCCCCCCCCCAATACGGGCGAGGGTTAAACAACAAATAATAGGCGAGTGAACAACAAAGCTATAATGATAATGGTCGGTGCGTCACTGTGTATAGATGTGGCAAAAGTTCTGGTCTAAGCATTGGTACATGTACCTATCGTCCACTTAACCCTCGCACGACCAGGCCATTTCTCATAACACGAACGACCAGGGGGGGTTGTTACGACCCCCCCTGGCGTTTCGAAACGGAAGGTCGTAGAGCTTAGCGGAAAAAACCAACGGATTGCTCTCAACGAGATCTCGCGATTGGTGGTATATTTTTTGGTCCTAGGTCAACATTTGACCTACTTTTGACCGGTCAAAGGTCAAATTTTCGGAAAAAATAGACTTTTTTCAACTTTCCGCGGTGATTGCGGCAAACCGGTGAGAGATATCGACTTGAAACCTTCACTATCGTGTTCCTTGATCAATTCTCTATCGTTTGGTATGTATTTCGTTTCCCTAGCTCTAAAAATGGCGCGTTGGGAGCGCCGGAAGTCGGCAAGGTCACAGTCGGCGGCAGAAATTCGAAAAATCAAAATTTAAATTTTTGAAATCTGATTGTATTTTCGGATTTGGGAGGTCCATTTGCTCCCTATAGAAGCTAATATTGCTGCATATTCCCATTGAGGTGACAAGAATTAGCAAAATAGTGGTTCGGGCGCTTTTCAAAAATAGTACCGGACGCTGTTCCTCTTATGACGTCATAACTCCGTGACCTGACCTGACCCGGTCAATTTTCTTGCACCACACGATAGCCAATGCTTGCCCCAACATGCATGGGAAGTTTCATCATGATCCATCAAGCAATGTGGGTATCACCGGCAGAAAACCTAGGGATTCGGCGCACACGTTTGGTAACTGTCGGCCGGAGGCTGTACCTCTTATGACGTCATAACTCCGTGACCTGACATGACCCGATCAATTTTTTTTTCGGCAAAAGATGCGCAAAGGTTGCCCCAGAGGGTATTGAAAATTTCAGCCCGCTACGACAAGCCGTTTAGCGTGCACTTCGAAAAAACCTCAGGGGGGGGTTGATACAACTCCCCCCTAGGCGTTCTAGGGTTAATTTGAGATGAGCCAGTGTAAAACAAAACTTATCTTCACTAATACCTACGAAATTAAATGCTATTAAAAACCGAGATTTCATTATCTTCCGACCCAGGAAACACGTTCAATGTTGTACAAAATGCTTAAAACGGAACGATGTGAAGCGATGAGTAAATGCGTAGTACAACTCATGGTCAATGACAATGGTGAATTCAATCAAATACTAATACGTTTATACAAAACTCTTCTGAGCGCGAATATGTATTAATTTTACCCATTCCGAGATGAAAACCTTGTGTACCTTCTTGCCGGTATATATGGAAAATATCGGTTTTTCCTAATTTGAAATCTTCTTTCCCAAAATTGGCCGATCTAGCAGGCCTATGTACATTGTACAAGACAATACATTACATGACAACGTACATGTATAAAACTCACAATGCACACTGCACGCCTTGGCAGATACAAAGCTTACAATACACGCGAAGTACAGCACCAATTATATCAGCACAAACATCATTGGCAGGCGGCAGCCATGGTGGCTCCACTAGTCCCCCCTCCCCCGATAGCCAATGGATGAACAAATATAACAAAGTTTGACACATCTTGACGAAGCGCACTTACATCAAATGCGGACAAGTGAGACGTGTGTATGATATACCTGTGGTGGTCATCGGTCAACGGAAAATGCTTTCTTCCAACCGCCTTTTCCATTGGCCAATGACCAGTTAATAGACCAATAAACGGAGTCCTGCATCGAGCATTCCGATTATTTTGATAAAGGGATGAGTAAATTTTACCTTCATTCCTTTCACTATATGAGACAACTATCCTTCCATTGGATGTGTTTTCGGTGGTCTCTTCAGGCCAAACGACGACAGAGACAAATGATAACTGTCATCCCAGGAAAAGCATGGGCGGCACATGGTAATGATATGACGACAGAACAGAAACATGTCACATTATGCAAACATTATGACTGGTATGACGCATAAAAAGCCTCACGCCGTCTGCACGGCCTTCAGGCCCTAAGCCCGCGGACAAGTCAATTCATAACTTCCGGACTTTGCAAGCACTTGTCGCAGACAACCACCCATAGCTGAAGCACAACATATCACATAGGAACATGGCTTTTCAGCTCTGATATCGGAGCGGCGTTTTGACTTCACCGGCACCGCAGCCAAGAATATGGCCCGGCAGTCCAGCTGCAGAGAGCGGGCCCAACTCGCGACGGCCCGTGGCAGACACTGCTGACTAGAGGTGGCAAAATGTGGACCCGAGGACCCGGTCCAAAGAACCAGTCTGGACCCATATGGGTCCAGACCGGTTCCTGAAAATTTTCTGACGGGTCCAACCGGGTCCTACCATAAACCAATCTTGCACGCTACACATTATTGCAAAATATGGAGTGAATGAAGTGAATGTTTCTTTGCACACAGTAGCTCATGAGTAGGTATTGCCAGTGGGAAATAATTGTTTTACATGATGCAACTAATGATACCTACAAGTAGTTAGTATTAACTTAATTGACTTTTGGGGAACGGGTCCAACTGGTTCCGATTCCAACTAAGACCGGGTCTGACTGGTTCCAGAAATGTTCAGCCGGGTCTGGTTCGAGTCTGGTTCCCAAAATTGTCATCTTTTGCCACCTCTACTGCTGACTGCATTAGAGCGCTGGCGTCCTTCGCACAGGACAGCTTCATACATACAACCCTCCACCGACTCGCGACCTTCGCACAAACCCTGCCCTGACCACCCGCCTATATTCAATCCTTGTTGGTGGCTGCTGGACGGTCGAGACTGCACAACACTCCTGACCGCCTACTCCTACACCGGACACTCCTGCTCCTAAGCAAGACTCCTAATCGCTGACTGCTCGCTCCTACACCACACTCTCCTGGTCAGCGCTTCTCACAGTTCGCACTCCGCTGGTGGCCAGCGCTGGCCGGCGCGGGTTGAACGTGGCGAATGTCACCACGGGCTGCGAGTCCGCTGGACGTGCCGTCCTCCCGGCGTGACCCGACCGTGGCAGGGTCAGGTCGTCGAACGGTACGCCACCCTGAAGGAAGGCAGCCATACTGTCAGGCTGTCAAAAGGTAGTCAATAGTCAAGGAGTCAAAGTAAGGTCGGGTTGTGGCCATTGCTGGTCCTCCTTCACAATGCTTTATCCCAGCTCATCTAAGAAAATGATGAACATCAAACGAACGTGGTTAACTTACCTGGTCGCGCCTGGAGCCAATCTGATGGCTCACAGACCGCGGGGACAGGTTGGGCGACCCCTTTCGTGGCCAGCTAACACTCAAATGGTTCAAAAGATGACTCGTTGGAGCTAGGTCGTAGCCCGAATCTGTCGACAGCAACAGCAGCATGCAGCAAACACTTCAGTTTTCACCGTCACAAGCTTTGTAGGGGTATAAAGTTGCTCAAACCTTCATTCACAGACTTCTCTATATATAGAGAAGTCTGTGCCTCATTGAATGTGTTTCAGTCCGTGCTTCACTTCATCCCAGTATTAACTTTGTGCGTGTATTTACGTTCTGCATGCCTATCTTCGTTATCTACGCTTAATATTATTCACTGGTTTACTCAAGCTATGATTGATAGAGTTACCCGCACTATTTATAGTACCAGAACAGTTTCTGCATGGCAGAGCGTTTCAAAGCTCCACTGACCGTGAACGCTCGGGTGCTGGTTGATCTGCAGGCAGTGTCCGCTGGGTATCACGTCTGGGTTCTCCGAGTCGCCCAGTTTGGCCCCGACCACCGTAGGCCGGTCTGGCGCAGGACTCGAGGTCATCGTCTCCTTCAGCATCAGTGAGGAGTGGATCAGGTCGGCCTGGGGCGCCGGCGGCTTGGCCTGGCGACGACTGAAACAGAATGGGGAGTTCCACTATTGTTAGAGCGACTGCTACAGAACATTGGAGCCATTTGATTTTTGTTTGTTTTGTTGGGTTAGGCCCTTTCGGTCCACTGGGACCATTTCAGAGCCGGGAGGATGATAGGATATATGGGGAGACATTGGTCTGGGCAGGCACCCTAGTGAGTGACCGGGGCTGAGCCTGTCCAGATGACAGGCCACCCAGCCCCAAGGTACTCACTGCACCCGGCTACGGGGTGCGCTCCCTCGGGAGCAGCGGTGCCGCTCCAAGGGAGCAGCCGCATGATATAAAGTTGCCTGTCCAGCCCGGGACAGGCACGTCAGTTGATGGAACTCCATCGTGATATGGGCCAGCCGTTCAGGTGATAAACGTCACCTATAAAACCAGTAAAACGCCTTTTGGGCGAAGAACGAGCGAGCGAGATACACTGAAAGCAAATCTGACCGGCTTTTGTTAGTAACAGTAAAGTGGGCCTAGAATCACTACCCTTTTACCAACCATTTACCATCACGGTACTATGCTCTTACTATCCCAGTACCATGTTTACTATCCCAGTACCACGTTCATACTATCCCAATACTATCCCAGTGCAAGGTTTTTACTATCCTAGTACCACGTCTTTACTATCCCAGTACTACGCTCATACCACCCCAGTACCAGGTTCGTACTATCCCAGTACCACGTCTTTACAATCCTAGTACTGCGCCAATACTATCCCAGTACCAGGTTCATACTACCCCAGTACCACGATCGTACTATCCCAGTACCAAGTTTATACTATCCCAGTACCACGTTTATACTATCCCATTACCACGTTTATACTATCCCATTACCACGTTTATACTATCCCTATACCACGTTCGTTCTATCCCAGTACCTCGTCTTTACTATCCCAGTACCACGTCCATACTATCCCAGTACCACGTTGCACACACGTTTCAGAAAGGTCGACTGATTTTTATTGGATGACGTTTCACGAAGAGCAATGGTTTTCCGCGGCGCCTGCTGACTCGACGCTGCACAGTGCAGCGAGAACACCTACATACGCGCACGTACACACGCCGCACCAATCGATGTACATCCCACCGTCGCTTGGAAAAAAAAAACATCAGAAACATAGGAACTACAATCGAGGAACGAGGCACTTCTGAACCCCTGACGCTTAAATCGCCTGCGTGCGCGCGCATGGCTCAGCCGCAACTGCGGCGGCGCAATCGCCTCCTGCGTGCGCGCGCATGGCCCAGCCGCGACTGCGGCGGCGCAACAGTGCGCATCAGCAAACAACACGACGACAACGACGCACGAACGTTCCGTCTAAAAGTGACCGCGGCGCCCGACGATGCTGGCGGCGCGCAGCCGACCAGCCCTCTGAGATGAGTACATGAGATGGCAGTGGACGGCGTTACTCTTGCGGCTTGCACTTCAGCAGGTTCTGCAGCGCGGCGCCCTTCGGTTTAATCTCATCGCTCCTCATTCCAAAAACCTCGTTGTGCAGAAACCAGACGAGGGTCTTGTACTTGGTGCGAGGCTTCTGGTTGAACACGTAGAAGCTCACGCCGACCAGCAGCAGCGCCTCCTCCAGTGTACTGCACCTGGCCACCTCGGTGCGTTCCACCAGTACAGACCATTCCCCTTCCGGGGCCTCCTGGACGTGCGGGTAGGCAGCTCCCTCCTCGTCCCGGATGATCACTTCTTCTTGGTCGATCAGTCGGAGCAACGTCTCGGCAGCGTCCTCTGGAAAGCGGGAACAATATTCCAGGTTGGTACTTCATATGTGAAGGGAGGGGAGAGAGAGGGAGATGGGGAGGGAGATAGGGGACAGAAAGAGAGAGAGAGAGAGAGAGAGAGAGAGAGAGAGAGAGAGAGGGAGAGAGAGAGGGGGAGAGGGAGAGAGGGAGAGAGGGAATGAGGGAATGAGGGAGAGGGAGAGGGAGAGGGAGAGGGAGAAGGAGAGAGGGAGAAGGAGAGAGGGAGAGGGAGAGGGAGAGGGAGAGGGAGAGAGAGAGTCTCTCTCCACCCTCTCTTCCAACTTAGGGTAAGAGGTTTAGCAGCGAGCCAAAGGAGAAAGGTCGTTTTATTCAAAACGTGCCGTCATTGTTAAGGATATGTGGAAGCCGTCGTTGAAGCCACGAACATGTCTGGATGTCAGTTGGTAACACCTATCCATATGCATATCACCAGCAAAACAAAGATGGAACTTTGCAAGTTACAGGCGTCGACATGCTACGGAAGGTCATTCGCGAAAAAAAAAACTTTTTTAGAATGACAAGTCATTCGTTTGCGAGTTATCAGCGCAAAACCGGGGGGGGGGGGTGCAACCCCCTACACTGGCGGGGGTTTAGTTAGCAAATGTACACATACCGCGTCTGCATTCCGTTTGGGCCATGATGCCCGCTAGCCACGTTTTCAGACCTTCGCTGAACTTCTCCCTCAGGCCAACTTGTCCTGACAGCAGCTCCATCTCCTTCCAGAGCTGTGGAGAACACATTCGTCATGTTGAGAGGGATACATAAAGCATGATTAGACCAGTTAAAAATAACAGACTTTTAGCAGGTTTTCCCCCGGTACCTTCCCATTGGTTTGAAGAACACTGGCCGCAGTAGATAACTAGTAAATAACGCCGTACCGAGCACTCAGCCAAGCTGAACCGAGCCTCGAGCCAGCCTGAGTGAAGCCGAGCTTCGAGCCAATTATTAACAGGATCTCTTCTATTCTATTATCTATTAACCAGGATATAGACAGATCTATTCAGGATTTTGACGCTTCAGTAAAAGCTCGGCACTTTTTTGGTGCCTGACTCGGATTTTCTACACTGCACTGTAGGCCCAAACTTTCTCATCATGGAGCATGACTCTGCGCCTCGATAGTATGCAGTTACATTTACTACTACACAACCAATTCAGTGTTGGTTAGCAGATGAATTTACATACCTCCTCTGCACCAAACATGAACGGGAACCTTTTCTTGAGGCTTGAGATATTCTGGGGTTTCTTTCCGGGTCCTCCCAGAATTTCGGAACGCCTCGCCGGCAGCGTCTCCTTCACGAGGGCGGCGCGCTGATCCCTGTCGACGTCGCCATGTCGGAGCATGTTGAGTTTTCTCTCCGTAGTAACCAGATCATCAACGACCACTGGATAGTAGTTGGGCAGTCCTGGAACTTGTGTGGGGATGAGAGAGGCCTTCCTCTTGGCTTTCCGCTCCTGCACCGATGGACTCAAGGAACGTTTCCGAGAGTTGGTGAATTTGTTGCGGAGTTTCACTGTCAGGATGTCCTAAAATGACAAGAAAAAAAAAATCATGTTAGATTTTAGAATGATCCTTGGATTTTTAACACCACGTAAGGAGTCCGGGGGCCGTATTCTGACCGGTTTGCGTACGCAATGTTTTGGCTACGCCAAAACTTTTCCTACGCCAAAACGAGATTCTGAGCTCCGACTTCCGTACGTACGCCGAAGTCCTGGTTTGCGTACGCAAAACTTATTTTCGTTCGTACGTTTTTTGTTATTGGTATTCTGACAGTTCATTAGGCATGCGCACGAAAAACTCATGGAATACCAATTTTCGTACGCAAACCATTAGAATACCGATATTTTCGTACGTAAGATTATTTGCGCACGCAAGGAGGTCAGAATACCAGGTTATCTTACGTAAGTCAAAATCTTGCGTACGAAAAGATGAGAATACGGCCCCGGACCCGCTTAAATCATTGTGCAGGTGGTTTAAAAGCCGCCTTTAAATAGTAAACTAAGAAAATATGTAAGCAGCAATTGAGACTTTCCCAAATTATTTCGTAGATACTTAAAGGAAACGACCCACCTTTGAAAATTTTCAAATAGGTTGCCAATAGGTTAACAAGGCTGAAAAACTCATCTGTTCACTCAAAAAAAAAGTCAAAAAGTTTCAATTTTAAATAAAATCCGATTTATTTGTTATTTCTTTCTTGGGATTTCTTGGGAATTTCTTGGGATATTTTACCTGTAAGCCCCTGTAAGCCCCAAATTCCTCTATATTCGATTTTTAACGCTTCGTTATTTCGTGTCAGAGCTTCTCGCGGACGAATGGCCGTGGTATTCCGGGGTTTTGGGACCTTGGCTACAAAACTGTTATCTCAGTTTAGTTTCCCATTATAAAGGTGGGTCGTTTCCTTAAATATATTTTATCACTGAAGTCAAAGCTAAGGTCACTTCATGTCATCAAGCATCAAATGTTCCCGAAATTGATGATTAACTCCATTACCTATGGAACTATCGCTGGTAAAAAGGAAACATTTAAAGCCATCGGTAGACACTGAAACTTTTTTCGTCGGCATGTCATCAGTTATTCGTCAATGAGTTCGAGAGTTCAGGAATGTTCAAAATAGTCATTTCTACGAAGTTTTTTTTCTCTCAAAAGTAAAATACATCGGTACTGAACTTACCACGGTACTGGAGTGGTCCAATTCAAGGCACGCGCTCAGCGTAGGGCACTCCGCGATCAGCTGTTGCGCCATTCTTATGTAGCTTTTTGGGTAACTGAAACACAAAGCATTGGATCAATCTTGCAACCAAAATAATTTATTTTAGCGATTCGTCGCGTTTTGACCGAAACCATGCGGTAATAATATACGTGACACGATTTGATTTGATTGCGAATAAGGCAAAACATGGAACACGGGCTAGGGTTAATTATCTTTTCACTATGAAATGTTGACTCACCTACTCCCAGTACATTTCCTGAAAGTGTCCACTACTCCCTGGAAGATTTCACTCAGCTCTGAGAAAACCAACTGTTGACCCGCTTGTAGGCGATCTCTTGTGGTCCTTGACAGGAGACCCAGATCCAGGACTCTAGAAAAGGAACACAATGAAAAAATTAACCCGCCCCCAACTAGGGGGGTTGAACACCCCCTTAGGGTTTTTGCTTGGCTGTTCGGACAACTGTTCCGCAACTTTCCTGAAAATTTTAGGACTATGCTACCCAAGGTGCACCCATCGTGTATGCACACAATTAACTACCGGCTCGTCCCGGACAAGCAAGGTCAGGTCACCAGGTCAGTACAATGACCTGAAAAGGTCAACTTCATTTTTTACCTCAGGTCAAGGTCAAAAGGTGACGTAACTACTAACTAGGTCATGTTGCATACCATTTGATGCGTCTGGACAAGGGGAACATTTTTAAACCTACCTGAGGTCTCTATCTCATTCCAATCAAAAGTTATAAGCAAAAACGTACATTGATCTCATGACATTATTTAACCCGCGCCCGGCTGGGGGTCCTGGATTTCCACGCCCTGCTGGGGGGGTGTTTGAACACCCCCCCTTCTAACTCGACTCCTGGGCCACGTAGCGATACGCGGAAGGCGGCGTTCGAAAGAGCGTCAAAAATAATGAGGAAATTATTTCGGTCAATTTTTTGGTCAGGTCAAAGGTCAGGTCACCAGAGGTCATTGAAGGCAAAATTTCGCCGATTTTCAGGTCGAATGTCAACAATTTCCAAGAAGCCAGCGCATAACTCGGGAACCGATAGAGCTACAGGGCCGCGGAAAAGCGCATTCAATAGCCCTATTAACGCCCTTTCTGAGCAATTTTCTCAGATTTGACCTAACGTCAACGGTTTTGCCTGCAGGGGGCAAAAACTGCAAAAATAGCCGATTTTTTTCGGAAACAGTTTTTCTGCAATAACTTTTGACCCAAGCCTTGTACGAGCTTACTTTTACCGGCATCGTGTTCCTCTCGTCAAGACGCATTGAATGAACTATAACTTGACCTTGAAAGGTCAACTTGAAAATTTGACCTCAGGTCAAGGTCATTACCTGACCGGAAAGGGTCATGTTGCATATCAGTCGATCTGTATCGTCGAGCTGAACACATCTAAGGCGTTTTCATCGCTCTAGCATGCCTCTATCAAAAGTTATTTGCGAAAAACTGTTAGACACCATTCGTGACCTAAGATGACCTCAGGGCATAAACAGGGGTCACGGACACCATTTTCATGTTCAGTGTGTCTAAACCAATTGTAATTCAGTATTTGGAAGTGTTTATAATGTCTTTCGTCCAAAAGAGGCGCATTTCAATTTTCTCCCATTCACTTATAATGGGGAGGTCGCAAAATTGACCTGACCTTAGGTCATAGATATCAAAATTCTGAGATATACATTTTGTACATGCTATTGCTCTTAGCAATCGCTGAAAGTTTCAAAGCGATCGGTCACTCGGTGTAGCTATGACAGACATTGAAACTTTTTATGAGGTGAGGTCACTTCAAGTGACCTGGTGACCTGAACTTGAATGACCTTGGTCTGAAATTTTCACAACATGTGTAGAATTGATGTATGATAAGGTGTACCAAAAACGGCGCCGCCGTTTTTGAGATATTCGCGAAAAACCACAAGGGGGGTGTGCAAACACCCCCCCCCCCAGCAGGGCGCGGGTTAACCTCAAACGACCTTTTCCGGGGGTCCCATATGCAAAGTTGCATCTAGGTCATCAACAGTAGCCCAAATGAGCATGGTTCTGAATGATTTGAGCATATCTGATAAGTATTTGAGGTATTTGAGTTTTTTCCCATTGAATGGAGAGGTCAGGAAATTGACCTGACCATGGGTTACCGATAAAAAAAAAAATCCGGGATATAAAATTTGTAGGTACTTGGTAGTATACCAAATCCTGAAAGTTTCATATCTTTCTCTCAAGTACTGTGGCCGTGACTCGATTGGAAAGTTTTTTTTTCAGAGGTGGGGTCACTTGACCTGGCCTGGTACCTGACGTTTGTTGATCTGAACCTAAAATTATCAAGAAAGTTGCGGAACAGTTGCCCGAACAGCTATGCATAAAACATCAGGAGTGTTCGCCCCCCCCCCCCCGTTGTGCGAGGGTTAAGGAAAGCAAGATTCCTATGTAGAATGGCATCATCAGACACTTATAAAGTCGATAAATTGTCAACCTCATAGCATGCTGCTCCCGGATAGTTGTCCACCCGCGGATCAGAAAACTTTTCAGCAAAGACTCGACTGAGCCACTCAGCTCTATCGCGGGCGTTGGATATGGTTTTACCACCATATTTGAAAAAAAGCGGAGACGCCTCTGGAGGATTTGAAGGACCTTGAAAGGGATCAAAACCATTTAGATTTACTTCTCAGGTACTACGATATTTGAAAAAAAAACAATGTTTTGTAACGGGTGCGACAGACACTGAACATTGGAATGATGAACAATATGTTTCATTCAAATGTTAACACCAGTATAACGCCTTTTGGGGCGACTAACGGAGCGAGCGAGAGGGTGGGCCTTGCACGTGCTAAATTGCGAGGGGGTACCTCCAACTGACTTGTGCACGGCACCCTACTAACTGGTCTCTAGCGATGTGCCAAATTTGGGCACAATCGGCCCAGCCGTTCTCGAGATCTGGAAGCGGCACCCTGCACGTGCGCACGTGCAAAATGGGTCCCAACTGACTTGTGCACGGCACCCTACTAACCGGTCCCTAACCGTGTACCAAATTTGAGCGCAATCGGTCCAGCCGTTCTCGAGATCTGGAAACGACCCCTGCACGTGCGCACGTGCAGCAGCACCCCAACTCTGGCACATGTATATGCAGTGCCTAGTGGGTGCCTACCTACATGCCAACTTTCAGCACAATCGGCCAAGTAGTTACCGAGATATTGCAACAATTACAAAAGTGACACCTCTTCGTTTTGCACGTGGCACGTGCATAAGGGGTCACCCACATGCATCGGGAATAGTCCAATACTTGGTAGAAGGAATGAAGCTACCCTACAAAAATTACCGCGTGTAAATCGGTCAAGTGGTTGCTGAGATATAAGCCTCGCAAAAGCGTGACCACGGCCGGCCGGCCGGCCGGCCGGCCGGCCGGCCGCTCATACTCAGAAATTTCCGTTAATCTAAGGAAAGACTACGCTCGCTTCGCTCGCTCCGTAATCAGCAACTAAATGTGATGTTTTTATTCCACATTGAGCTGACTTGAAAGTTCAGCGAGGCGCGTTCTGCGGAAAACCGGGAGGGGGAGGGGAGGGGATAACACAATCTGTTGCATACACTCGTGGCGCAGGTGACATATTTCCCTTCAATGCAGCCAAGAACAAGTTACAACAGTGCACACTGCACATGCAAATTTTATGTTAAAAGTTAACAAGATGGAAAAACAAACTATTTTATAATTCTGTGATCATGTAAATCTCTATCATCACCTGTGCTCCTCGCCGGCACGACGTCCTTGATGAGAGGATCCTTCAACTTCAGTCGTCTGCTGGAGGCCAGATGATTTAGCGGCGCCCGTCTCCTCTCGCTCCTGCACCTCCGAGCTGGTAGTAGCATTAAGAGATACAGACGAGCAATATCAGCCAATAGGTACACTTACTAATCTGCGATCATCTTATATCCACACATAGACCTCTGTAAACAATAATTGTTGAGGTCTATGATCCACAATACGGGTTATAATAAACGATATGATATGGGTTAGAACTCACAAAATTTGCGATAAACAACGGAAACAACATATTTCGTATAAGGAACACTGTTTAATGGAGCAGTGAGATGAAATAGAACATTTTAAAAGAGACATCGGCATAACTAGTCACAAACTCACAAGCATAACTCTGCAATCAAGAGCCATAAGTACCAGAGAAAACACTCAGTGCATTCTTAGGTGTGAACAACACTGGCACAGACACAGAGTCATCAAAGCTGCAAAGCTATTTTTCATTTCGAGGAAAGTGAATATCACTTTCTAAAAAATTGTATGATCTTCGGAACTGTGGTAGAAAAATTTCACCCTCACCCGCACTTGCTATTTCACTAACCTAAAACGCAACGGAAGTGGGGGAGGGGGACATCACCGCGGTAATTCGCTCCTGATTGAGAATGAGTTTCGCAACAAAGACCAGTGCAGTGGATAGCTTGGGGCGTTCCGAATCCAACGGTGTGCAATTGTATTTTCTTAGGTCAACCGACGACCTTCTAGGCCAGGTAAGACTTAAGTACCGTTTCATGGCTGTACCTTTTTTACCTTTTTTATGGCTGTCTCAGAAGCTTTTAAGCTTTTCAGAAGCTGTTTCAGAAGGAAGATACGCATATATTTTTGTGGACAATTTTCGCGAACTGGTTATTTTTGCAATTGTAAATACAGTGCTTCAAAAGGGTTCGTAATATGTGTGCAGTTATGGTAATAGAGGAGTCCCCTATAATACGTACAACAGCATACGTACAACAGCTGTATAACAGCAAAAGTAACAATCCGGCAGGTCTGTTTCATTTCAATGCTCACCTGGCCTGCGACGTTGAAGCTGCACTGTGCCCAACTTCTGTGACAAGCGAAGAAGAATGCGCCGGCCTGAGAAAACAAAAATATATGTGATTTGATATTAAAGATAAATAACAACGCGCATAGTTATCTATGCAACACGGTATAAAACAAAATCGCCTCATTGAATCCTATTAGTGGCGGGGGGGGGGGGGGGGCATTTCGCCCACATCTCAGGTTTTTCGTGAATAGTTCAGAGGCTGAGGCTGCAATGGCTAGGGCCCTGAAAACCTCGACTTTTTCTAAAATAAATTTTGACAGATATTCAAATTGTTATGTCCCTAGCTAGTACAGGGATGGATCAAGAACATAAGGGATTTGGATGTGGGAGGTTCCGGCCAGAAACTGTATCCTTATCCTTTCACAACAACAATAACTGCTCACATAACTCATTCTAACTCTAAACAACATGTAAATGATGACATTCCGTATAACTTACGGGCTGAGTGAAATGAGATCCTCGATGACGAAGCCTGAGGCTGTGGTCTCCGTGGTGGGCTCCAAGGTCAGAACTGGGATCGTTTCGGCGGTGCTTATGGTCGGCCGCAGCAGCGGAGTACAGGAGTTGCTGTCGGCTGGGCTGCGCTGAGGATCAGGATCGCTACACACGATCCGCAGACAGCCCTCGTCCGGGATTTGGGCAGGATTCATGGGACGGACGAAAACCCCGTACTTTTCATTCCGTACCTCTATTTCGAAGTTTTTGTCGCGTTTTAGCCCAAAACAGGTCAAAGCCTCAGCCAGCAGTCTTCGTTTGTCTGTCACCGTCACCATGCGGTGCACAGGCACTCCGTCCGGCCTTGCTGAGTAGGACACTACGTAAGTGAACATCTTGGTGATCCTGTGGAGCATACAAAACATACTGGTTATTGACGCTTAGTAGATTGTTTTTTTTTCTACTGGTTAATCGTATCATCACAACATGCATCTTTAACTTTGGTGAAATTGAGAACTGTTGAGAAAACATTATTTACTACACCTTTTCTCGGTACGAAAAGGCATCCGCTCAATTGAACGCGACAAGGGGCACCCTACTTTGGCCGTGGTAGCCCAAAAATTGACAATGTGCGGCCTTTTCGACAGTTTGCATTGAATTAGACGCGCGGCACATTTTCGACCGAGTCACTTGATTTCAACAGGGGCACTTCAAACAACATTATTTCAATGTAAATAGACATTAGTCACTCAAGTTAGTCAATGTGCATCTTATTTACACATTGTTCATGCTATTTCGTTGATGCGGATTTCACTGTTTTCATAATACCTTTGCTGTACATAGCAACAACATGCCTCAGTTAACCCTCGCCCGTACTTGGTGTTTTGCTACCTTCGCCCGTGCAGGGGGGGGGGGGGGGGGTGCGACCCCCCTGGCGATTCCAAACGAAGGGTCGTAGAGCTTCGCGGAAAAAAACAGCGGATTGCTCTCGACGAGATCTCGCGATTGGTGGTATTATTTTTGGTCCTAGGTCAACATTTGACCCAGTTATGACCGGTTAAAGGTCATTTTTTCGGAAAATAGAACTTTTCAACTTTGCGCAACGATTGCGGCAAAACGATATGAGATATCGACTTGAAACCTTCACCATCGTGTTCCTTGATCAATTTTCGCTCATTTCATGTATATTTCGATAAAATATCTCTATTAATAGCGCCGCTGGAAGCGCCGGAAGTCCGCAAGGTCACGTCCACCACTGTGACCGTCAAAATCAAAAATTAAAATTTTGAAATCCGATCATAATTTTTTTATTCATTACGTCTCAGTGCTGCTAAAACGTGCTAAAATGCTACATATCACTGTTGAGTTGCCTAGGAGGAGCAATATAGAGCTACGGACATTTCTCAAAATAGCACCGGACGCTGTATCACTTATGACGTCATAACTCTGTGACCTGACAATCTGACATGACCCGGTCAAATTTCTTCCACCAAACGATAGCCAATGATTGCCCCAACATGCATGGAAAGTTTCATCACGATCCGTCTACTAATGTGGATACCACAGACAGAAAACTCCGAAAAATTGACACACGCTTCGTGAAAGCCCGGCCGGAGGCTGTACCTCTTATGACGTCATAACTCCGTGACCTGAAACGACCCAGTCAAAATTGTTTACCAAAAGATGCGCAAAGGATGCCCCATAGGTTGTGCAAAAATTCAGCGCGCTGCGCCAAGCCGTTTAGCAACCATTCCGGAAAACCCTCGGGGGGGGGGGTTGCACCAACGCCCCCTGCACGGGCGAGGGTTAAGATGCGTTGTTTTGCCCAAGGCACTAAAATAGCACAATTGTTACACGGAAACAGTCACCGATACATATGTTTTTATTTCAAATCGGTATGCGAGCTTAAACCCTCTCAGGCTTCAGCAAAAATATCATCAAGATGTCATTCTACATTTGCTAAAAATATTGTTGCATTTGCGAATTGAATCCAATACCACGAGGCACAGTTTCTCGCTAACGAAATCAAAAGACCATGGTCTAAATAAATTGGCACTCTGTCTTTATCAAATGACCTATGTCACGTCCAATGCTGCATGTTGAAATACAGTGAACAATGTCGATTTTGTGCACTATGCCAATTTCGAACGCCCCTTGTCGCGAGGGTGCGCTTTGTCGATGTAAGATGAACTGATGTCTAAATTGCATTCCGCGTGTCGAAACCAATGACACAAGTCTAATTCACCCTTCCAGATGACTTTTCGTACCGATAAAAGGTGTAGAAAAAATACAATGAATTTATTTACCTTGGCGCAGGTGGTTACTTTCACTTGATGATATTTCGCAAAACAACAAAATGTTTAGCTCTGATATGGTACATCCCCAGGGGCTGATGATGAGCCAAGTCATTCAGGTGCATGATGTAAGGTTGTGATTTTCTTGGCACTACACGGAAAGCCTGCAGTTTCTCGTCATAGTGAACAACCTCGCACTCTTCGACGATGAACTGGAAGCTTCCCCGATCGTGGGCCACCAACAGACAACAAATGAGTACTAGTTTCACGTTTCCTGATTTTTGTACAACAACATCTCCTGC